GCATCTGTCAAATGTCATACCCAGGTATTTCATGGTGTCCGTTCTCTCAATGTCCACACCACATATGCTTACGACTGGCGTTGGTGTATTGACGATGTGAGTATTTAGAGAGAACCATGTTAAGGAGGCTTTGGACGGGTTCACTTGAGCTCTTGATTCCTGGCACCACTCACTAAGTCTGTCCAGTTCGTGTTGTAGTGTGGTTGTAATTTCCTGCCTGTTTTTACCTCGACGGTAAACAAGAATATCATCTGCATACGACATTGTTCTACCTAGACCTACGCGTTGTGCACTAGTGACTCCTGCTGTGTACACATTGAAGAGCACAGGCGACAGTGGTGATCCCTGTGGCAGACCCATTAGGACTCGTTGAGGTTCGGATGCCCATTTACCACATCGAAGCGACACTGTTCTTTCAAAAAAACGCTGCTGCTATCCAGTTGACCAACTTTGTCTCTATCTGCATATCCAACAGCAGTCTGATGAGCATGTTGTATGGGACGCTGTTGTACGCATCTTCTAAGTCAATAGCGGCTGCAGCAGTTTCCATTCCCTCCTGGAAACCCTCATATGTGTCGTAAGCAAAAACTGCAGCATTGCACCATGTATCTCTTCCTGGTCGGTAACCTCCTAGTGTAGCGGGGAATAGACCACCCGACTCTAATTTTTGGGTTAACGTTCTGGCAACGATTTTTTTCCATGAGTTTTCCTACCGTGTTCTGAAGTGTTATGATCCTATAGCCATTTATTCTCGTGTGGTCTTTTCCTAGCTTAGGAACTGGTCTGAGATAGCTGTGGAGCCAGTCATCAGGAATAATGCCAGTTTTCATGGTGTTGTTAAAAATCGTGGAAAGTTCATCCATATCTGTCATATCGAGGCTTTTGAAGTCGCTGTATCTAATGCCATCAGGACCTGGAGCTGTGTCTGGACAGGTCTTCAGTGTTGCTTTGATGCAGTCCGTTGAGATGTATACTGTATCATCGTCTTCCTCGATTTCAGCTATCTGGATATCATGTAAATTCTGTTTCATCTGCTTCCTATCTTCCCTGTCTTTCTTTTCCGTCTGCAGGAGAAATCTGTGCAGGATAGCCTCCCCTTTGTCTTTATCCGATTTTAACACCACCCCGTTGTCCATTTTTAGCTCGGGCATAACAGAGGTTTGTTTGCCTCCGTTCATCTTTTGGTGGAGCCGCCAGAATTTTCTGAGAGATTTTTCGTAACCTATTTCTTGACAAAAATGTTCCCACATTGTGTGCTTAGACTCCTTTGCGAGTTGTTTGAAATGTTCAGTGAGTCTGTCTTTTTTGTGTTTAACGTCTTGTTTCTGCGCCTCAGTAAAATTCGAAGACTTTCTGCATTTCTCCCAGTCTTTGGTGGCACCTCGTTTCTCTGTCCAGGCTTCTGCGACTTCAGGAGTCCACCATGGGGGTTGTTGAAAGATAGCTTTCTTCTTTCCCGGTGTTCTGCGTGACCTGTCTCGCAGACGCCCAATTACATCAGGCTGATTTGCAGCATACTGGAAAGAAGTGGCTGGTCTCTGATACCTTGTGCAGATTGTTTTTTTTTGACCAGAATCCAACATGGAAGGTGGTCGCTTCCATGATGTCCCAGTACGCCCCACTGGCAAAGTGCACTTATACTGGGAGAGACCAGCGTGAGATCAAGGGCACTGTCAGTATCACCTTCTCTGTCGGGGATTCTGGTGGGTCTGCCATCATTCAAGCAGATTAAATCCGTGTCTGTTAGTGCTTCCTCCAGTGCCTCGCCCTGTTTATTGACCGTCAGATTGCCCCATAGACGCCCTTTGGCATTGAAGTCCCCACACATAATGATGTCGGTGGTTATCTGCTCGCATATGTCACTTAAAATTGTCCACTTTTCTTTGTCAACTTTATCATTACAGGCATAGATGTTGATTAGTGTGAAAGGTTTACTTCCGTCTACCTTTACGGCCTGAACCTGAATTTCGTTGTTGTTCCATGCACTCGTGTCTACAACTGAGGATGTTATTCCGCGCCTGACCAGGATCGCTTGGCCTAGGTGTTTGCTGTTGTAGTACGTTTGGAAGCCTGAGACATTCAGAGCTTCTTCTGTATTCAGCCGGGTCTCCTGAAGTGCGATTACATCAGCATCATATATCAGTTTCTCCAAGATTGGGCCTCTCTGTCGAACACTCCTGCAGTTCCAGCAAAGAATGCGGAGATTTCCCTTGCCAAGGCGTTCTGATTTAGATTGGTTTTTGCGTGCACCAGCACGTCTATTGCGCCGTTTTCTACCATGTTGTCCTCTTTTCCTTCTGTAGCGTGTAGATGCTGCTGCATCGGATCTCAGTACGGACGCACGAAATCCGTAGCTCTGGCGAGGATTGAATTCATAAAAAATGTCTACCATATTTAATTAGTGAGAGTTTATTAACGTTACCCCAGTGGTGCCGTCGTGCTGGGGAAGGGGCCAGAGACGTAACGCCCATCAGCACAGTGTCGCCCCTGTACGACATAACTATGTCTGTGTAGCCTGATGAGATGTCCTCGCAAAGAAAGGGGTACTACTTGTAAAAATAGAACTCCAAATGTCTGTAATTATTTCCTCTTCCATTCGCGAACCCGACCTACCACAGCCAGTGTAACCAACGAAGTAACAAGTAAGGAAACCTGATATTCTCGAGTATGCAGCGGTGGAAAACATTGCCGTCAGGTGTTTGAATTGGTAAGAGGTTTGATTTGAGCGATGAAAACCGATTCACTACGCAAAGTGTTTGCCTTGAAATAATCTTGGTTGCTAGCGCCGCCATGCCGGAAGTTGTCATTCCCCGGTTACAAGTTGTAGTGCCTTGTGTTAATCCCTTCCATGCTTAGGATCGCAAAAATGTTAAGTGCCACAACGAAACAAAACAGGGCGTTATCAGGTAACTAGATACTTCAAATAAACAGCTCGTCGCTACTGTCTCGGTGACACATCAATGACAAGGCCATCAATAATTACTATGATTATCTGCACAAAACGGTTTATCAATAAGGGAAGTAAGAAAGCACTGTAAAAATATGATTTCGGAGCATAATGACACAGTGATATCCTTGTTCTATCAATGGGGAAACTATGCTAAAAGTCTTAAAAGCTTTTTCTTCTTCTTCTTCTTCTTCTTCTTCTTCTTCTTCTTCTTCCTCTTCTTCTTCTTCTTCTTCTTCTTCTTCTTCTTCTTCTTCTTCTTCTTCTTCTTCTTCTTCTTCTTCCTTTTCTTCTTTTTCTTCTTCTTCTCTTTCTTTATCTTCTTCTTCTTCTTCTTCTTCTTCTTCTTCTTCTTCTTCTTTTTCTTCTTCTTCTTCTTCTTCTTCTTCTTTTTTCGTCTTCTTCTTGTTCTTGTTCTTGTTCTTCTTCTTCTTCTTCTTCTTCTTCTTCTTCTTCTACTACTACTACTACTACTACTACTACTACTACTACTACTACTACTACTACTACTACTACTACTACTACTACTACTACTACTACTACTACTACTACTACTACTACTACTACTACTACTACTACTACTACCACCACCACCACTACCACCACCATCACCACTACCACCATCAACACCACCACCACCACTACCACCACCACTACCACCACCATCACCATCAACACCACTACCACCACTACCACTACTACTACTACACTACATCTGAGTGTGCATCGTCGGTTATTGTGGTTTACCTCTTGGGTCCGATATATGTCTCTGTGTATTATCTACCACATCTCATTTAATTAAATCCCTAACTAATCACATTTTTAACGACATGCTCGTAAAGGGACAGTGGACCTATTCTTTTGTGTTCTCTGAGTGGAGGTCCAGGACCCGCACGAGGATCTAGAAGTTCTTCAAAAACTTATCTACAAACGACCACATTTTCTCTAGCCCCTACGTTCTTCAACAGGCAATCAGTGAACAAATATAGCGGCGTGCTGATTGGGTCGCTACACTGATGATGAGACGCTCCATGTGACAAAGTAGCAGCGGAAGTATAATCGAAATGTGCGGCCGCTGACGCCAGTATTGCGTCGACTCGCATATCAACGACACATTGAAAACATTTGTATGTTTGTTTCTGTCGTAGCCATGAGACAGTCCGCAAACTATTTCTCATATAATGTCACTCTGCGGATGTCAACCCGGATCTAACCCAATTTAGAGGAAACATCTAAAGATTACCTTATTCGGCCACAAACAATTTACGTTTGGTTCTCGTACTTTTGTTGTTGTTATTGTTGTAGCATCCATCCTCCCACGTGGCAGGGTCTATATAAGAGGCTTTAGGCAATACTTTTAGCACGTTCTTGAGGCGTTTTTGTTTCAGGCCACCACGAGAGTGTCTACCTTCCTGTATTTCACCATTCAAGGCTATTTTTGGGAGCCGATGGTCTAGCAAGCGGACGACATGACCGTCGGTAGTTACTACTACTACTACTATGAAAACAACTTTATTGTACAATATTTTCACCGCTTCGAGGCAATTTGTTGCGATAATTATAATATATATTGAATAGTAGGTTGCCCCCCCCCCTCCCCCCCCCCCTTCAAGTTAAAAGTTGAACGTGGCTAATTAAAATTGAACCAACGAGCGAACTTTACTCCCTGTTGTCGTATGCTTAGCAGTAATGTGGACACGTTGTTCACAAAGGCCTCGGACCGTCCCCCCCCTCTCTCTCTCTCTCTCTCCCTCTCTCTATCACTCTCTCTCTCTCTCTATCTCTCTCGCTCTCTCTCTCTCGCTCTCTCTCTCTCGCGCGCTCTCTCTCTCCCTCTCTCTCTCTCGCTCTCTCTCGCTCTCTCTCTAAGGGCAGAAACAATGTCGGCGTGAACCGAAGGTTGGTCTCTACAATCAGGGTACTGATGATGATAACGACGAAGAAGATGATAATGAGGAGGAGGAAAACGAAACTCAAAGAGATGATGTAACATTCGCAATTACAATATTTAGCATACTAAAATCCCCAATGCTCCTTACCTCAAACATGTGCTCTATTTATCGTTTAAATAGCTGCATAGTATGTGCCCAACAGTTGCTTTAAAAGAGGCGTTAAAAGTATAATAAACCATGAAAGTGCTGGCACCATTGATAGCTTCAAACACAAATGTAAAGGTCATCAGTATCGCTACTATATTTTGATATTTGCCTTCAGTGAAAAGGCTGAAATCTGGGATGTACATTCTAGCCACGGACGATGAAAACACACTACACTTTGGTAAGTTACACAGTATAAAAATAATGTTTACCACAATAACCGTTCTCGTTATCCTTGCGTCTTTTGTTTGTTTGTTGGTTTTTGTTTCCTTTGATGTTACTCTTTTGGAGGCAGTTTTGTTTTCCTTTGTCGAAGCATCAGAACATTTACGGACAGATGGTGCCGTGGACTGCCGAAATTTGTTGGATGCTTTAATAGCTGATATCATGTAGAGAGTACAAAACGTGGTACCGACACCTGATACCACTGGCAACACCCCAGCTAGAATGCTGTTCTTCAGAACATCTGAAGCGGCAGTAGAGGACCAGTAGGTCAATCGGGATCTATTGGACCTTTTGTCGTAAGTCCAAGCCAATCCCTTGGTTAAGTATTCTGGTATCAAAGATGCTACAAAGATAGCAGCGATGCAGATAATGATCAAAATGGAACGAGACTTCGTAAAAATCAGTTTGACAGTAAAAGGATACGCCACACAGAAGCATCTCTCAAGGGACATCAAAACAATAATACTAATCGATACTGAGTATGCCTTCTCTCTTACAGGAACTATAGAGTAAGTAAATGAAACTGGGTCTAATATTGTACGAAATGTTTCAATTCGACTGACTAGAACACCCAATGAAGACATGAAAACTAAAACGGAAAACAGGCAGTCTGAGGTTGATAAACTTAGGAACTGAACCGTAGCGCTGTCTTTGATTCCTTGTTTCAGGTAAACCACGATGTTGAGAATATTGGTTATGATACCAAATAAAGATATAACAGATCCCGCGCCTATGAACGAAACGTCAGAAATGATGTCTTTAACGCTGTCATCAACCAGGGCTACTGGGTGTGGAAGCACGCCCCCATAAGTACAATTTATACAGTTTATTCCCGCCATGTTCTATTTACTACTGCAAAATTCTATTTCACAGGCTTGTAACGCCATATAAAATAATATTACAGGTTTAAAATATACATGGTTGTAAAATAAAGTAAAGGACCCTTTTCCACGCTTACTAGGCATAAAGGACTAGACCTTTATTTTGTAGACCATTCAGCACTCGGTGGGTGATGTCGTGAACATCACACTGGCCGCCTTTACTTTCCAGGACTTTACCTATTACCCATTTAAGGCTGGGTCGACCAGGGAGCGAAGGTCATTTGATAAAGTCTGGTTACATTCTGATTTAAACCCATGACCGTCGGGTCCGCCGAGAGGCAAGCGTCAGGCTTCCAGACGTAGGGTAAAATACATTATAATCTTTAACCTAACACACGCACACAATAATAATAACAATAATAATACAAGTCAGAAAAACCCACTGAAATCTGGATGATCAAGTATCTCTCCCACGTAATCTTCATAGCAAAATGGGTACATGCTGATAATAAAATCAAAGGAAACAGGTAAAGATGTGACATTCACACGACTTGGTGACGTTCACACAACTTGGTGACGTTCACACGACTTGGTGACATTCACATGACTTGGTGACGTTCACATGACTTGGTGACGTTCACACGACTTGGTGACGTTCACACGAGTTGGTGACGTTCACACGACTTGGTGACGTTCACATGACTTGGTGATGTTCACACGACTTGGCAACCACAAGGTCTAAAAGAACTGTTCAGTCTAAACTTCATTAGACAATAACAAATCACACGACTTTACAAAAAAAAAAAAAAAAAAACTTGCCAACTTAAATCAAAGTCATAAACATAGAACTAGACTCTACTTGAATGTTCTATGGTGAACGACGAGGCGCTTTATTCAGTTGCTTATTATTGATCCTTTCAGATATTAAACGATTAATTTTGAACACTTTTTAGGCCAATTTCTGGGTACATTGTCAAGCACTCTGGTGTCAAATACTGAGGAAAGTAAATCCTGTAATAATTAAACATGATAAAAGACTATCTGGATTAATCTTATTCTATGACTGGCTGCAGTAATATTATTTGTATAACATTAATGGTTTAAAGATATGATTTTAATAGCTACAAAATTGTTCGCACAAATCCAAAGTAAACTTGCCGTAGAATTTTGCGTATAATTCCAAAGGATTACGTCATTTTTGGTTGCCCATAAAGAAAGAAAAATCAAGATATTAAACAGATCAGTAAAAATTTGATGAGATCAAAGATGATAAAATCTTCGCATTGTTAAATAGGTATCGATATTATGTTAGAACTCAAACGATCGTCTGGTTGCAATCATTATTTGCTTATACTCTCACATAATGGTTTCGTTCATTTTTTTTTTAAATTGACTTTGTCGTACTGGTCGGCGTCTGTGGCTTAGGCATTGCGAACGCGCTTCGTAATGCCGGGTTGCCGGGTTTGATCCCTGCTGCGGACGGTTTGTCTTGCGATGGTTTCGACCGTGGTACCGAGAGCCGATGGCAAACTATTGGACGTTATTTAGCCTAGAAAAACCACAACAGCCAGAAAGTGCTGGGGTTGGTTCAGCAACGTCATGTAAAGGATACGACTCTAATTTAAAATTAAATGTCGTACTGGTATCATTAGTTCTTTATTGACTTTCACGTAGTGCTCGGTTAGGGAAAGCATGTGTGATTTAAAAAAAAAGGACTTACCCACTATTATCCCTTTTGTCAAGATTAGTAGGATATGGGCGCGATTGTGTTGCATTAAACGGTAAAAGAAAAAAAGCACCATTTTCACGCCAGTTAAGGCAGATGGCAGATCGTCCCTCCAGAACCGATGACTGTAGCCTGCATCCGCCACAACGCTCAATCAGGTGACATCTTTATCTATGCATATGGTTCTGTGATCTGGGGTACGGGTCGGAAAGGCACTCACAGCGCAGGTAACTGGGAAGACAGTAAAAAAAGCAAGTCAGGCATTCAGCTCAACCACTTCTAGCATGACGATAGAGATAACAGCTGTCATAAGGGCACTCGCATGGCTGGAGAACAGAAAGCCACTCACGCATTGTCAGTGACAGAGTCATTGCGCAAACTATCATGGCTGTACACGCCGGGGTTCGAGGGGGGGGGGGGGCAGGGGGCGGGGGTCTAGGGCCTAGAAAAAAGGAGCCGAAAAACTGACCGTGTCTGCCGTGATTAGTGGAGGACGAAGTATGGACAGGGCAGACAGACATACAGTATCGGTAGCATATAGAATACGCTGCGTTCCAGAGACGTTGAGACAAGAGAGACAGAGACAATGAACCGCTTGTTGGAAATGTGTTTTCCACAAGGGATGAAGATCTCGATGATCTGCATTCCTAAAGATAAGCTCGGATTTAAAGCACCCACTGCACAATGTTCTCTTTAGGAAAAAGGGGCAACAAGCTAAAAAGGGAAAATCATGGCTCAGTAGGCCATAGGACGATATCATACATGTCTGCAGTCTTACAGACATCAGCCTCGGCGAAGAACTCATACCTATGCCTCAGGTGTTCAACTGCATCTTTTCCTGTGTTGTCACGCTTTATAGGATCTGTCGGGAGCAGAATCCAGTTGCTGTCAATGCAGAGGTCCACGAACTTATATGTGAACATTCAGATGAGGCAAATGTAACGATTTACCCAGATGGGTCCGTTGTACGAGGACAAAAAAGTGCATGGGGATATACTGCGTGCTTTGCAGGCAGAAGGGTCCAGGAGGCCAGTGGTACCTTTTGTATGACTACTAGCAGCATAACAATGGAGGTGATTGCGGTAACACGATTTTTCATGTGGCTAGCACCGCAGGGCTATTCTGACGTGCGTGTGCTGAGTGATTTAATGAGCATGATCCGGCGGGTCGAGGCGGACTTTTTACGCTGACAGTGAATCGAGTCACTGCTAGCCTCCACTGTGCGTGGAGTTATTTTCATCTTTGTCCCAGGGTATGCGGGTGTTGTTGGCAATAAAAGAGCCGTCAAATTAACCGGCTCTGCCTTAGTAACAGGGTACCGGCTCACGGATCATGCAGACATTGTTAATACCATTATAGAGGTAGGACGATCAAAGGATTTTAGGGAGTAGCATATCAACATATTTACTAACAGTGCAAGAATTGGGAGTAAAGATCGGCACAGCCAGGCACTAGAAGTACACAGTCTTGTCGACCAACATAGGAGTAGGACTTTCAACCGCGGGACGCTGATGTATATGTTGAAGGGGGAATCTATGCACATGTCCGGAGTGCCGTGAAGATTAGCCAAATCATAACTCATAACTCATGAGACAATTCTTAACATGATTTTTATACTTTAGGCATAAGACAAATCACCTAACATAACATTAACAGACTCTAACCATAATTTAGTCCAAATTGCCTGATTGTTCAGATCCTCGTCTGTTTTATCCATTGCCTTGACAGTTTTGCAGGAGGTATTTGAACATTCATTTTCTGGATTCTCAGTTTGATTTCTTATTTGCAAACTGTGGAGCTATCAGTGATAAACATGGTGAACGTTTCACTAAGACATTGCTGCTACAGCGATAATGTATCAAGGTCATTTGAGCCCTTCAGAGCTTACTGATGTCTGTTGCACTGTGACACCAGACACCTCATCGATTGACTACAAAAAGAGTTCGAACAACCACTGTATAATGACGAAATTGTTTCACAAATGCTAAACAAAGACATTATACTGTATGTGAAATTAAAATAATGTTTTTATTTTGTATCATTTTATGTTGAAATATCAAATAGTTGAATATGTCCCCACCATTTATATAATGCCGCAGTAGAAAGACGACTACAGGGAAGGCGAACCCAGTCAACAAATTTCTGCAAAAGTCGGCCGAAAGGTGCAAAAATCGCGGCCTTGCTGTAAATGGGCACAAGACAATTACATCTTCGGATGAACGCAGAAGAAGTAGAATAAAGAATACTGTTCACCCAAGAACATTAAACAAGCATACTTTATTTGTATTGTAACAGAAAACATAAAATAACTACATGTAAATATGCTGTCTCCGCAAGGTCACTAACAGCACAAGAAGGGACAGGGTTACAAATAGAAGCATTAGAGAGAGAACGTTGAAATAAGACCATGTCTGGATTATATTGAAAGAAAAAAGAATACAATTTTTCGGCAATCTAGTGAGAATGCAGCCAGACCAAACTACAAATGAGACTTTCTACAGCAGAACATCTGGAGAAAGGCGAGGGGAAGACCAAGAAAGACAAGGATAAATTGTGCAGCGGAGAACTGTAAAAAGATGAATAAATCCATCACCCAAGCCACCCAAGAAGCGCAAGACAAAATACAGAAAACCACGACACTGGGCGGCAAGCTGGAATCGGTGAGACGGTAAAGACGAAGAAAGAAGTTGTAAAGCAAATTCGTCATTTAAAAAAAAGAACAAAAATTAAAAAAGCAGAGCCACTTGGTGAATTTCATTATGATATTTGCATTCAACATGTCAAAATCTATGTTAAATTATAAATTTAAATTCAGATAAATTATTTTTGAAAATTTGTTGACCAGTGCAGTTTGCTGATTATCGTTTCTTCTTAGTCTGCCCTTGAGTCAACCTCAGAGTCAGATGTAAACAGTAAAGGTCCCTTCTGATGCACTGAGATTCATCAGTTACTTGGTGTTCGGCTCAACATTTTTGTAGACCAATAGGGAATCAGTGAAGGGATATGGTCATCAACTTGTATCGAGCCTTTTCATTTGTACATCGTTGGATAAGGTCATGGGTTCCGGTCATGACGAAGTCAGACTACTACTACTACTGCTTCTTCTTCTTCTTCTTCTTCTTCTTCTTCTTCTTCTTCTTCTTCTTCTTCTTCTTCTTCTTCTTCTTCTTCTTCTTCTTCTTCTTTTTCTTCTTCTTCTTCTTCTTCTTCTTCTTCTTCTTCTTCTTCTTCTTCTTCTTCTTCTTCTTCTTCTTCTTCTTCTTCTTCTTCTTCTTCTTCTTCTTATTCTTTC